CACGCAGATTGCTGAAGCATTGTCCATTGGAATTGATTGGGGGAAAACTTGGGCTTGGGGCACCTCTCAGCCGCATCAAGAGGCTTTGCAGGCTGCTAAGGACTCTGTTTTAGCTCCAGAAGTACAATTGCAGTTGGTCACACATGCCAGGGACTTGGGCTACATAATGCATTATCGTCTCGCGCCCTTTCGAGGCACACAGAAGGAAAGACATAAGCAGGCCTTGGCCAGACTGCACAGATTGCGTAAGGCTGATATTTCTGTTCAAGATAAAGCATATGTAGCGATGGCATCTGCCGTGACTAAGGCCCTGTATGGGACCCACATGTATCTGGTTGGCGAGGAGTATTTCTCCCAGCTTAGATCCAAAATTGCCACGGCCATGCTGGGCTCTCACCATAATATCCAAAGCCATATAGCATGCAGCTGCCTTTCCCCAACCTTGGTAGATCCTGAGCTTTGGGTTATCCAGAATGCCATTAAAGAAGCCAGACTCTTCCTGCTACAAGCTGACCCTGCCTTGGTAAGCCTTTTTCTCCGCATGGCAGCCCACCATCAAGTTAGGTATAATTTGATAGTAGGACCTGCAATGGCGCTGAGCGCCTACTTGGCTAAACTTGGCTGGACCATTGACCAGCAGGGATGTATCCATTGCCCCAATTTCAACCACCTTCATTTGATCCACTGCAACCAAGAAGAGTTGATGCTGGCCACTGAACGTGCGTGGATGGAACATGTTTCCCTTTGTGTTAGCAATCGCCATCACCTCCGTAACTTGCCACGTATTGACAATCGTGCAACCGTAAAAATTTTCCAAGCTGTCCCACCGGAAAAGCAGAGAAGCGTAGGTCTTGACCTTTGTATGGGATACATGGTGAATGAACAAAAAGCACATTTTGATGAATTTCAGGACACTCACTGCCAATTCTGTGACCAAGCGGATACGGTGATGCATAGGGTTTTGCACTGCCAAGCCACGCAAGTGGTAAGAGCGAAATATCCTGCAGTGTGTGATTTCTTGCAAGACCATGACATGATTCATACGTTACTCCCGGCAGCTTATGCAGATCCAGAGGTGGACTTTCACTCTTTTGTTTTTGAAAAGTATCCTGAACCTCTATGCCAGCCATTGCCATATACCCCCAGGTTTCTTTTTACAGATGGATCCTGTAAGATGCCAGCCAGCCCAAACCATAGATGGGCGTCCTACGCAGTAGTTGCTACTCCATATGACCTCTCGCAAGTGCCTTGTGAACGATTAAATGATGCTTCATGGTTGCTGCAGAACACTTTCGACACAGTCGCAGTGTCACATGTTACTGGCCTCCAAACAATTCCTCGTGCAGAGCTTATGGCTGCAACTCTTGCTCAGGAAATGCAGTTGCAGGTGCCTGTAGTAACAGACTCACAATACGTCATGTACGTGCATCATTTGATTGAACAGACTCCATACGTTTGGAAATTAGCCAAGAAAAAGAATTTTGACCTTCTGCGCAGATTGCATGCTCTGCATTGGGATCAACGTATGGATATTCCAATTCTCAAGGTGAAAGCTCACCAAAAAATTAGTCGAGAAGACCCAAATGCTTTCATGAAGCTTGGTAACATGGTTGCTGATTGTGCTGCTACGCAGACCCAGGAACATTTGGCACGCCATTTTACGACCAATCTAGCCCGGCTTGCCCACGAAAGTAAGCAGATGAAAGATATGCTTTGCCAACATCTGACCATGCGAGCAGAATTGGCAGAGTTACGCAAACGTTTGGAAACAGAAACCGTCCAGACAGAGACAGTTGAGCCTAAGGCGAACTTCTTTAAGCAATATGTTGTGAATAACCCAGTTAAGTACACTTTTACACTTGACCAGTTTGAACATGTCCATGCTTCTCGGTTTGGCTCTCGCTACAGTGCACTGGTACTGGAATGGCTGCAGACCTTGGAATGGCCAACTCATCCTGACCGACAAAAGCCTCCGGTGGGGGTGACGTGGCTGGAACTAGCATGTAACTTCATGATCACGACACAGCATAGCTTGAAGATAAATGTTTCTCCTCATGGACAGCCTACGAAATACTCATGCATGGAAGAGGACATTACATTGGACCATACTGTACATTGTTTTTCCTTGGCGACGAACGCACTACGAGATTGTATAGCTCATCTGGGCTTTCTTTTGCAGACAGACCTTCTTCCAACTCTGAAGCCGCAGAAAGTCACCTCACTTAGGAAAATGGGTGGCAACGCCACCAAGCAGGGCATTGCTTTCAGACCGGTAATGAAACGTCAAAGTGAGACAGTTGATTTACTTGTGGCGTATTTTGAACAGCAACAGGGTAGCCGAAATTTCACCAAGTGGCCGAATATCCCGTACAGTGAACCGTGTGTTCAGACAACCGTACAGGGTCCAAATGAGGATAATCAGGAGGACCGGAACCGCCGGTATAATGCCAGGCGAAGAGACATACGCCTGTCCAGACAAGCAACGTGAACTTGATTGTGTTATCACCCATTTGTGTTGTGAGACTCCGAGGTTCTTATTTGGATTTTGATTATCTCTGTTGCTGATCTTGTTGTGATGCTTGTCTTCTCAGGACTAGACTTCAGTCTCTAAGGACATGGACAGGTTCGTCCTTGCACATGCGGGGGACGGGCCGCGGAGCGCAAGTGGGTGGCCTTAATTCAGGTTAGTGAAATATTATAATTTACCCAGATATATACTAATATTGTTTATTGAGTGCTTTGGTGGCGAATTGATTTTCAGTGACCAAAGGCATTCCAATTTTCAACTGTTAATCCAAGTGATCCAAGTGCCACTATGTGGTCAACTGGTTAACATCCCTTTTTGTTGAACTCCCTGAAGTTTTGTTGGCTCACTTCGACGTGCATCCGGTTTCAGTAACAACCACATTATCCAATCATACCATCTGTGATTTGTGATATACCCGAGGTGTCTATATATATATATACATTATTATATAACAACTGGCTATAATTTGGATGTTTATTTGTCTATTTGTCTATTTCTCTATCTATCTGTCTATCTATCTATCTATCTATCCATCTATCTATCTATCTATCTATCTGTCCATCCATCTATAGAATATATCTATCTATCTATCTATCTATCTATCCATCTATCTATCTATCTATCTATCTATCTATCTATCTGTCCATCCATCTATAGAATATATCTATCTATCTATCTATCCATCTATAGAATATATCTATCTATCTATCTATCGATCTATCTATCGATCTATCGATCTATCTATCTAATCTAATCCAATCCAATCTAATCTAATATAATATAATCTAATTATCTATCTATCTATCTATCTATCTATCTATCTATCTATCTATCTATCTATCTATCTATCTATCTATCTATCTATCTATCCTATCTATCCTATCTATCCTATCTATCTATCTATCTATCTATCCTATCTATCCTATCTATCCTATCTATCCTATCTATCCTATCTATCCTATCTATCCTATCTATCCTATCTATCCTATCTATCCTATCTATCCTATCTATCCTATCTATCCTATCTATCCTATCTATCCTATCTATCCTATCTATCCTATCTATCCTATCTATCCTATCTATCCTATCTATCCTATCTATCCTATCTATCCTATCTATCCTATCTATCCTATCTATCCTATCTATCCTATCTATCCTATCTATCCTATCTATCCTATCTATCCTATCTATCCTATCTATCCCTATCCTCTATCCTATCTATCCTATCTATCCTATCTATCCTATCTATCCTATCTATCCTATCTATCCTATCTATCCTATCTATCCTATCTATCCTATCTATCCTATCTATCCTATCTATCCTATCTATCCTATCTATCCTATCTATCCTATCTATCCTATCTATCCTATCTAGCCTATCTATCCTATCCATCCTATCTATCCTATCTATCCTATCCATCCTATCTATCCTATCTATCCTATCTATCCTATCTATCCTATCTATCCTATCTATCCTATCTATCCTATCTATCCTATCTATCCTATCCTATCTATCCTATCTATCCTATCTATCCTCTCTATCCATCTATCCTATCTATCCTATCTATCCTATCTATCCTATCTATCCTATCTATCCTATCTATCCTATCTATCCTATCTATCCTATCTATCCTATCTATCCTATCCTATCTATCCTATCTATCCTATCCTATCCTATCCTATCTATCCTATCCTATCCTATCCTATCCTATCCTATCCTATCCTATCCTATCCTATCTCCTATCTATCCTATCTATCCTATCTATCCTATCTATCCTATCTATCCTATCTATCCTATCTATCCTATCTATCCTATCTATCCTATCTATCCTATCTATCCTATCTATCCTATCTATCCTATCTATCCTATCTATCCTATCTATCCTATCTATCCTATCTATCCTATCTATCCTATCTATCCTATCTATCCTATCTATCTATCTATCTATTTATCTATCCGTCCGTCCGTCCGTCCATCCATCCATCCATCCATCGATCCATCCATCCCCATATTGCCAACCAACTTCCCATTTTATATATATATAATATATCCCATTAGATATCCCATCGACTATCCCATTAAATGCCATTACAATCCATGTTGTGTATGAACCAAGCCATCGTATCTCATAACTTTGTATGATTATCATTAGATCTCCACATTCACACTTTCGACCAAAATTCTTATATAATCACATTTTACCAGCTATATCACTGTGCCCATATTATCCAATATCCACTATGAACATATGTCACCAGTATTAATTCCTATTGATCATGTGATTAAACGCTACTAATCACCATTGACCACTGCATATATATATATATGTATATATATATGTATATATATATATGTATATATATATACTATGTATATACATACCCAGCCAGTGTACTATTTATCACCACTATAAGTACTACCAAACCACTTAGAGAACCCCTATGTTCCCCGAGAAGCCCAGTATGTGCCAAGGCCCTCCGAGAAGCAGTTGTCCATCAAGCAGAAGATCGCCGCAGCGGTGGCCGCCGCCTACAAACGCAATGGGCCTGTAGAGAAGCCCGAGAAGAGCCACTGGGTCCAGTGGGTTCCGGGATCGCTTGGGAAAAAAAGTGCTGGAATTTCCTGAAAATCAGAAATTGTTTTTTTTTATTTTTGGACTACAAAAAGTGGTGGTTCCTGGATAAAACTGAAAGAACATGAACTATTTATGATTGTTTAAAACCTGTTTGGGAATGGTGGAAGACCGAGAATAGCCTATACTTTTTATGGAAAATCCTGTATGTTATCCCATTGTTTCATAGTTGGGAATATTTTTCAAAGAACTTGCTGGAATATATGAATGGTGGTTTATCCTGAAAATAGATATACTGAAAATGGAATATGTCTTAAAAACTAGTTGTTGTTGTTTTTTTTATTACAGCTTTAAGGAATACTGAAGATGAATAGAAGCTACAGTACCCTCAGAAAAAAAAAAACAGAGCAGTGATTTACCACTATTTGTTTCTTGGGATTTTACCAACTTCTATCTTTTTGTGGAGTTACTAGGGCTTGGGCGTCCCGAAAACCATCCAGCTATACCCCCATGACTTAAGACACATCCTTATTATGAGTGCAATTGATATGGTTATATAGTTCGCAAAACTGGATATCTAGATGATATGATTTAGAGATATATGTTGAGTTTTCCTTAGCCGCTTAGCTTGTCTATCTACTGATTCTGGGGGTGCGAAACAAACATGGGGAGCGAAGCATCGGGAATTTGGAGAACCCACTGAGTGGGATTTAAGCGGAACATTGGGATTCAGATGATTTACGCACTTAAGTCACTGAAAAAAGGGGACGTTATGTTCGGGATGTGGAAGAACCATAGATGGTTAATATAGAGAACTGCCACGCTTACTTACTTCAGTTTCTGAGGTATGCTTGGAATTTCTTGGGTCAAACTTACGATTTCTCCTTATACACGGAGGGGGATAAGATGCATGAACAGCAGATTGTTTTGTGGTATGTCTCCAAAATTGGGTGCCAGATCGAGTAATTACACATGTGATGATGTTGGATTTCAGATTCTGAAGCCTCCACGTTTGGTGTGTCCATCAGCCTGTATATTTTTTTGGGCGCCCTTCATGAATGATTCCAACACATCAAAAGTTACGGTTCTCATGGAGTCATGTTTCAGTCAGCTTTGTGGTGTCATTCTTAGCCATGTTCAACAACTGGTTGGTGGTTTGGAACATGGCTTTTATTTTCCCCAATAGTTGGGATGATGATCTCCGATCAACAATGTGAGACTTTTGGGCAGCTGAAACCACCGCCACTTTTTGGGGTGCAGATTGGGGTTAGTCTGATCATTTTGTGCACCGAATTGAGTGACTTAATATATGTGGGGGTTTCTTAATATGCAGGATCCCCAAAACCATAGATGTTATCACTAAAGTGATCTAATTTAGGATGATTTGGGGGTACCATTATTTTAGGACACCTCCATATTTAGTTTTATTGTTCCCACTCGAATTGCCACGTCATCGTTTGAGGCGAAGTGAAGGAGGAATGGACCACGGCCTACGAAGATATGTCCTTATATGGCTATGAAGATTACAGCTGGCAGGGACAGCATCTGGGTAGCAAAATAGGAGAAACCTTAAAATCCACGTCACATCATCATTTTTCCCAGTGAACATGGGTAAATTTTGGTGGTTATATGGTATACATATGGTATACTAATCATTTTCAGACACACCCATGTTCTGCCATAAATTATGGAATTGGCATCTGAAGTGTTTTGGTGCGCCTGAGGTGCCCTCTTAGTGTCGCAGAAAATCGGGGCTTCTGAACCTTCTGCCTGCTTCATGTGTGTCTGAAAATATGATGATCCAATGATCCAAGCATCAAATTTGGGTTCCAATTTTCAGACAAACCAGTGACTATCCATTGTCATCATAAGGAGGGAGTCCTACCTACATAGCTTACATTCGAATGAGTGGTTGGTGGTTTGGAACATGGTTTTTATGTGTCCATATATTGGGGATAATCCTTCCCAACTGACTTTCATATTTTTCAGAAGGGTTGAAACCACCAACCAGTTGACCATGGCATAGCCAAGCATAGCCAGGACCTTCGATCGTGACATAGCTGTGACTAACCAGCGTCATCTGTGAAGCACTGACTGGATTATCATCGCTAAACAAATATGGGCCATATCTGTATCTAGAATTCTCTTGATATTTAGCTGACGAACAAAGTTATTTACAATTGCAACACATGTTTCACCACCTGAATTTCATGTGTTAGTATATAGTAGTCATTTGCCTCTCTAAATCTTCTCCTCGGACCATTGATATAGCTGCCCTCTATGGCCCTTGCAACGACCTGAGGTACGGCTGTGATGGCAGCTACGGCTGGAACCAAATGAACTGCAACCAGATGGGTTGCAACCAAATGAACTGCAACCAGATGGGATACAATCAGATGAATCAGATGGCTTACAACCAGATGCAATACCAGCAGACAGGCTACAACCAGATGGCTTGTGGCGGTTGTGGCATGGGATGTCAGGCAGGGCTTGGCGGTTGACGGTCCGATGCCGGAGGTTGAGATAGCAGGGTCCAAGTGACCCACATGGGGTCTCCTTCATATTGAACACCCCCAACATGGTACCAAATATGTGTATATAATTATACGTATATATATAATATAGGTATATATAATATATAATATATATATATGGTTGGTGGTTTCAAACATTGTTTTTTTTCCATAATAATATATGGGATAATCCTTCCCATTGACTAATATTTTTCAAGATGGTTAAAACCACCAACCAGATAGATTCTATTAAACCATGGTTCTTGGGGGTGTTTGATCTTAAGGGATAGGATTAATATGATAAACCCAACAAGATAAACCTTTCATGGATGTTTGGTACTACCGCAGTGTCTGGTAAATTGAGGATGATTTCTTGATTGGGTGCACCACATTACTTGGAGAATGGAACAATAGTTACAGTACCCTGTGGTAATTTAACATAGCTATTGAAAATGGCCCATGTATAGTGGATTTACCCATTAAAAATGGTGATTTCCCATAGCTATGTTAAATCACCAGAGGGTAAATAGTTGGCAAATGAATCACCCCGCAAAGATACTCCCAGTGTGCTCTTCCCGCACTGCTGGAACGGCTGGGTATCATGAACCAACAGCATGCTTCGCTAGTAGTGAGTATGGGGAATTGCCGTACATGCAGGAATGTTGCATTTTATTAAACAAGAATTAGGGGCTTGCATCTAATCTGATCTAACAGTAGCATACATTAGCTTGTGTCTTAGATTCTTATCATGTCTTATCATAGGCACATGCGAGGATCCAATCTAAAGAACCCAAGATCCAAGGCAGTCTGACTGCCCCAGGGCCGCAACCAATGGCAAGGAAACCAATGGCAGGGCCAGGTGCGGGTCCGCGTGTAAAGGGACCATTAGAGCCCCAACCTGGGGTTGCTTGATTTCTGTATCTTCCCAATGGAAAATCCATGAACATCCACCATTTGGGGACTGTATTGTTTGATACCCTCTGGTGAACATACAAAAGGCTATGGAAAATGGCTATTGAAATAGTGGATTTTCCCATGAAAAGAATGGTGGATCTTTCCATTGCTATGTTAGTTCACCAGAGGGTATTGTTTGATATTGCCCCCATAGCATCGAACAGCCACCAGAAACCGCGGTTTAGTAGGGGATTTTTGACCATTTTGGGACATTTCGGGACCATTTGGTGTGGTGCTGTGTGACAATGAAACCCTCTGGTAATTTAACAGTTCGCTATTGAAAATGGCCATTTATAGTGAGTTTTCCCATTAAAAATGGTGATTTTCCATAGTTATGTTATAAACCATCGTGATGTTTTTCCATTTTCCCCCCATGTTTTTTTTTTTCAGGTTTGCAAGCCTCAACATTGACATGATGTTGCGATATGCTCGCGGAACCCAAGATGATTTCGTCAATAGTATAACACGCTAAGAGTAGAACTGACCATGTTTTTTCATTGACATTACAAACGTCAGTGGACATCAAATGGAACAAATCTTGCTGGTTCAATATATATATATAATTATGTTCTATACACATATATTGTAACACATATCTTGCTGATTCTATATAATATTTATATATATATATACACCTTTACAAACCATGTTCAACAGAAAATCACAATTTTCAACGGGAAGTTTCCCATGAATCCCTTGGACTGCGAAGGCTGGATGGAACGGCTGCTTGGCTTTTGACAATAGCGACCGGGCAACTTTGTCCCCTCGGGTAGTGTTGTTTCGGTCAGGGGTGTGTCATGGCAACCACAAGCCCCAGTTATTCACCATTTTTAATGGGAAAATCCACTATTAATGGCCATTTTCAATAGCTACGTTAAATTACCAGAGGGTATGTAGAAAAGTTGGAAACCTGAAAACTGATTGATAAAACAGAAAGATCTATACCATCCTGGAAATACGTTCCTGTCTTTCTTGGGGATACTATGTAATGTTGTCATCTCGGCATTCAGTTCGTAGTGCACATGTACGTAGTCCTCAGCGGCTAATTGAAAGTTTGACAACATGGCCCCTTCATGGATCCAGAAGACATGTTTTGATCAGATGGATTCAATACAACTAGAGCCATGGATAGATGATTTATCCATGATTTTGGGTTTCAGCCCTTCCCCAAATTGGGGACGACTCTGGGCGTTCCTCCATCGTTGTCTCCTGAGGAAACGATGGGCAGTACGACCAATATGGCAACTATGTGGGGCCGGGGAACTACGGAAGCTCGCCAATTGGGGTTCTTTTCTTCAAGAGTGAAACGGCTTTGGACTCACCCAACAGGAACGAATGAGATTGCTAACCAACAATAAACACGCATTATAATGCATTATATATATACATACATGCACATGTTTATATATATATATATAATTATATAATTATATATATATATACTTATATGCACATAAATTATGTGTACTGTATATTATATATATAAATACACCTAGGGATCCAATCCCATTGTGACAGTATCACCTTGGGGACCTTGGGGTTTTCCCAAGAAATCCTCTACGAGGTTCCAAGGTGTTTCCCCGAGAAGACCCGTTTTTATGCCTCGTTTTCCGGATGATTTGATGGCTATAAAACGGGGTGTCCTCCATATTTGAACAAACCCAGATATGATTAATATCGGTTATAAGATGGGTATATAATGGTATAGATGGGCTACATATCCCATTACATCCCAGACAATCTCACCATTGTTGCTCTTATCCCACTGCCATCCACTTAGACCCTGAATATCACTCATGATTTGAGGAGAGAAGTCTTCCAAGCCATCATTTGGCAGGGTCTATGTTAGGCGAGACTGGTACTATTCCCTCTTCAGGATGTGTTTCTCAGGAATTTCATGGGAATGGCTCAACGTTCATCCCGGTAACCATCCACGCGGTGGGCTTCGCTCAGGAAATGATTACAACAATTGCTACTACAACAACTATGGAGGCTTGGCAAAAGAGCTGAATTCAGCCATGACATGAAGCTTCACAATACGCAACAGGGTCTTTGGATTCTAGGTGTATTATATATATACTATACATTTGCGGGGGACTCTAATGCATTGCAAGAAAGGATGCCCTTAAGTTGCATGATCATACATGTGGGTTTTCATGATGTCCTTCTCGTCCAATCTCCATATTATTAACCTTTCGTAGAAATCAACCGTAGAAACACTGACTTGGATGTGATTCATTGATAGCGATAGCAATGTGTTACCACTATGGCCAAAGGCTACCTCGGGATTTGTTTCAATACAATCGGTCCATCGGTCCCCTGTTAAGGCCAGTGGGACAACGACTCCATGGTGACACGGGCCCCACAGGTCCCACTTATCTAATCCCTTTCCTCTAATGTTAAAGAATCCCGAAACCCTGGTTTAGATACTAATGGTAATACTAATCTGGTTGGTGGTTTGTAACATGTGGATAATTTTTACATATATTGGGAATATCATCATCGCAACTGACTTTCATATTTTTCAGAGGGGTAGGTCAACCACCAACCAGTCATGGTTTAGCCTCTGGTAAACTAACATAACTATGGAAAATCATGGAAAATCACTATATTCAATGGGTAAATCAACTATAAATGGCCATTACCCTCTGGTTTCGTATTGGATCGAGTTCTTTTCGTACCCCGATGATCGGGGGTACTCTTGTCCTTTGGCCCGGCCAGGACAAGCGCAGAATAACGGCTATGGAGGTGATCCGGCTGAGACGTTTGTGCAGGGCGTTGCTGTTAGATTTGTATAATATATATAAATAATATGATAATATATATGTATATATATGTATATACGTATATATATAATATCACAATTATACCCTATACATATGTATATATATATATATATATAATACACTGTAATTATATATATATATTATGATTGGGGGGGGCTTACTTGGATTCTTCCACTAACTGACTGGTTGGTAGCTGAGGTTGGATCATCCTGGCTACAAATGGGACAACACAAATGGTATATCTCACGGTTATTGATACAAATCTGACTAGGATGCTCCTCCATGTAAAGAGATATCGACTAGTTTTTTTTCCAGAATGTCCATCATGTTGGTTCTTGATAGTCCATATGTTTTCTTACTGTGGATGGAAGAAATCCTGCACCACCTTGGATGGTGCAGGATTTCGCAACCATCCACCGTAATTACCTTCATGTAAAATCATGTAAAACGAATGTCCGAGATTAAAATTTTGGTTCTTTTTCACTTCAACCCTGGTGTTTTTGAAGTTTCTCCAATCATTCGAAATGACAAAAATCACCTCCTGGGATGATCTCACTCTGGGAACATCGACCCAGTAGACCCGACTCAGGGAATCAGATCGATTCCCAAGCAACCAGGGATACCATCGATCAGTGTCATCAAAGGTGGTTTGCTGGCAAATCCCCGAAATAAATGGAAGTTCATAGCTGAGAAAATCCTATATATATATATACATTCATAGGATATATGTTGGATTTTCCATTGCAATGATGATTGGCCGTTTTGCTTAGTTGTTTCTTGTATTTGTCACCCTGATTCATGATGCTGATCTGATCCCAAGACAAAAATCATAAGCTGCCGATACTGGTGAAATCTGAGAACCCCGAGGAAACAAACCCCAGAACTTGGCGAAGTTGTTGAAGATATGGCTGCCATATTAATCAAAGAGTTACAGTCTGTAATAACCTAGTCATATCATGTTATATAGGTCAACCTAACTTAGCCTTCTCACAATCACAACCTGACACAAAACTTTGCAGTTTGTTAAATGTTGAATATTGAATCATAGCAGAAGTTAGATGAAGTTAGCACTAGTAACTAATATATATATACATATATATATATATGGCAATGTCTCAAAGTTACAGTACTCCGATAAATCCACGACTTTGTTGGTAAATAAATGGATGGTCACAAACTCATTTTTTTTAATGTGTTTTTGACCCATCCTGAGAAATTCCATTCATATGGTAAACCCAATAATAATCCATCTCGCCAAGTCATTACCATTTTGATGGGTGGTAACTATCATCCCCAGTCATGGTAGGTTTATGGCATTGGGTTTCCCATAATAATTTCAACTAGCCATTCTTCATCTATGATTAGTTAGTTATACAATGTTATACACCCATTATCAACCATCAAAAAAGCCATTCTTCACCATCATTCACCATTATTTTCCTCGGTGTTTGACGTGCAGGCAATTGGCAAAACGCTGCCTGGGGTTCCGCCTAGTTCCAGCCGCTTCCTTCCGTGGCGCTGCCAATGGGCTGCCAATGGGCTGCCAATGTCTACGACTTAATGAGACATGCCGAGGGAGGCATTGGAAAACGCTGAAGTGGTGGTGATAGTGACAGTGATGGTTCCTTATTCTAAACACTAATTTGGATTTGTTATGGGATATCATGGGGGTTTGAATGGCATTCAGATTCAAGATCCGTTTTGTGGGTAGTGGTTTCAGATATAATTAATATTATATGATCTATCCTTGTTTTGTTCAAATATACTTCATGATTAAATATGATTTTCATGATGTTTTCTTGGCAACCATCCTTACCGTAAACTGATGGTCAGAGCCGACCCCCCCGAGTTGGTCCAAGGCTAAGGTGTCCTATGTGTAGAGGTGGTGTTATGTGTTCCTGCAACCTGCAACGGGAGATCTGGTCGGATTAGGTAAATTATAACTGGAATAATTGTTAGGATTCGGGAAATCATCCCCAAATGGCCTTAATTAATTCAGGTTAGTGACATATTATAATTTACCCAGAATCATCATCAAACATCTTGAAAGAAGGCTGTTTGGATCCCATGATCCGTCCATGTCCAGGGATTCCAGGGTGTAGCAGTGTAGCACTGTCACCAGCCTTTACCAATGCACCAGTTGTGGTCTAGCCTCACAGGAGGAGACCTATCTCGCACTTTGAGGGGCAGCCAAAGCTGTACCCAGGGAGCGCCATGCACTGTCAGAAACCATCCACTAAAATGGGGGTAAACATGGGTAAACCAGAATTTGTTCAAGAGACCTAGTGATCACCTATGTTTTTTCAGCCATTTTTTAAGACCCTACCGGTGGTCATCCCACTCCAACAGATCTCATGATGCAGAGCTGCTAGCGCCACCCTGGTGAACGCTGCCCTGATGCCGAATGTTCAAAGCCGAATGATCGACGCCAATGTGGCGCTAATGTGGCGCTGGCTGGCACGCGGATGATTACATGGGTTTGACCAAAACAGGGGATGTCCTACTATGGCTGGTTCAATGGGGGTTTTGGATGATGATACTGGGAAAACCTATTTTCAGACAACTCCATGTTATCATTGCACATCAATGACTGGAACCAGATGATTTTCATTCTTGGGGTTTCACCTCAATGTGTTTAGGTAAACAAGACATTTTGGCAGATCAGTTCCCTTTGGTAATTTCGCACAGCGAAACCAAAATGACCAATTTGCCATGGGTAGGATGACGCAGACGTATTGTCACGAAATGTGGAGGCCTGCACGCACTCGAAGTGCAAAGATATGCTGTTTAGAAGTGTTGAATCCATGCCTTCTGCGTGTCAACTTCGAAGGGTAGGTACTGCGGAGGCCTGCGAGTTTTGTATAGTTTTGTCAATCTTGGTCATCCCAGGAAGTACGGTTAAATACATCGACGACTCATCGGGACACCCCAAGCTATCCATGAGAAAATGGATAGATGATGATAGATGCCATAAAATCCCATGGAAAATCCCACAACCCTGAAGCCCTATGGATCCTTCCCTATGGATCCTTAAACAAGACCTACCCCAAATGCCCGAGACGCTACGGCTGGATCTAAGGGTTTCACCGTTTCACCAGGTGGATCTCCAGGCATTGACAAAATAAGCAAATACTATCTCAACATGATTACAATTGTCACATATATATATATATACGTATATATATACACATGTTATGTTGTTTATACATGCATAATTTAAATGATAATGTAAAACGAACATGTTCAATAATATCTATTGATTTATTGTTCATAGATGATGTGTGTATGTGTATATATATAACACCTTGTATGCAGGGTCTCTTTGAGATTAGTATCTCGTCACTCTGAACGTAAGTAAAATGGTGAGTACCCCCCATTTTAGGAAAACCTTTCTAGTAACCATGGATTTGTTAGGTATTCTATTTTCAGACAAGCGAATCTAGTTGTGACTGAAGTGTGAATTCACCGCTTTCCAGGATGCGATAGTATCGGCGCAGACACACATCCATTATGATTATCTAAATACTGTAATTACAGTACAATATAGATGTAACAATATAGAACAATGACAATATAGTACTAAGACACACAATATATTGTAACAATGACAATTGCAATAACACATCTATGAAGATCTAAACTCGTGGGCCTCAGTGTCCGGACCAACCGCAGTGGAGTTGCAAATGTCCTTAGAGTCCTCGGCGATCCCCAGCAATGCGGGGGCCCACAAGAACTGGGACGCCAGTTGCGTGGCTTGGTTATGGGAAACCATGAAAAGTAAGAGGCTTTATAAGATATAAGATCTTATAATTCCGATTTGAGTTGTTGAGACACTTCAAGCGTTTGCGTGTTTTTCTTGCTGATTCTAGAATGTGTTGGCAATGTTGAAGCTGATTTTTTTGTCGGTTGATGAATCAAATGCACCAGGCTTAGCACAAATCACTGGCAGCTGGCGTTTGCCATGCACGTGTCCATGTTTCAGATGGCAACAGTTGACTTATTTTGTTGCCGTCCGCAGGAATCTGCGGGACTCCCCCCACTTTGAAAAAGATTGGGGCAGGGGGAAGCTCCGGGCAGGGCGGGCGCAAAGGCACCCATAAAATCACATTTTTGGGGGGAACATGATGATAAACCACGATAAACCACTGAATTGAAGGGTACACTATGGTAGTGACTATTTTCAGACAAAGCCATGTCAAAATCCAAGAGCTGACTTGTGCAGTATATGAAACTGGCTTCGAGTGTTGGGATTGTGTTTCAAATTTCAATCCGCCAATCAGATGAATGTGGTAAACTCGGTAATTAACCCTAGCTTTCACATGCCAGGGGTTGCAATTCTCCAAAGATGTAAGGTTTGCCCTACAGTAAACTGATTTAGATGTGGAAATCCATGCATTTACTAACTGGAAAATGATCTACAAATGGTGGCTTTCCCACCTAACCTCATTTGGACTTGTCTGAGAATCAGGATTCACTGCTTCATCATTTTCTATTATTATATCTTCCGCAGTGAAATGGCTATGAATTAAGGTAGCCACCCCATTTTCAGACCCCAAACAATTGTTGATAGTAAAATCAGCTATTTGTGATGTTCAATCCCCCAGCGCTGAGGGTAAACAGCCAGCAATTTTCAGACACCCAATGGATGGCCACGTTTGCCACGTGACCGGCCAGGCCGCCTACGCAGATGTGCCAGTGACCTACTTGCAGTAGCAGCCCCAGCATGCGCCAATCGGGTGACCACCTGAGTTCAACTGCACCTTTGTTCCAGGTCAACCGTAGATGGAGACTTTACTAGTTGTTTGAATCGCAGGGTTTTGTAGATTGGCCATGGTGAATTTTGGCAACTATCTATATATATATATATAGATATATAGTGTTTTCTCAAGGATGGGGGATCCCCAAAACCATTGGTTTCAATACTTCATGTTGGCCATGGTTTCCAAACGTTGTTCTTAAAATCCCCGTTTGGCATTCCAGGTATATGTTGCTTTTACCCCCATGCATCCATGCTGGTCCTTCCATGATGACCACACGGAACGAAAACTGTGTTCGAACACCACGGGGTCACCACGGAACGAAAATGCCTTGGCGAAAAATGGAGGCATGATGTGCTGGCTGATGACTTTCTGCCCATTCTCCAGCAGAGGATCGAGGATGTTGGAAGGCGCACAAGCACACTGGATGTTCCTCATGTTATCCCAGAACAGAATCGAAAGGAAAGAGAAGATAAGCACCAACAAGAGAATAGAGAAAATCGTAGGGAACATATTTGCTACCTTTGTCCGGAAGCGATAACCCCCTAAGCATTTCTGGGTTGCAATCCACTCTTTTTGTCAAGGGATCCAGGGATCCACATCAAAGTGGCGTTGTCCGATAATGTCCGATGAAATATGGCAATTTAAAACATGTTCACATACCGGTAATATTCCCTATAATACCCATATAACAATATGGTTAATCATCATATTCCCTATTCCCTATAATACCATGTAGCAATGATACAACACATACACAAGTTTGGATAGTTTGGGGTGCAGCATTTTCAGACCCCAAATCCAGTATGAATTGGCTACGGTTAAATCCTTCCAGGTTTTGTCCTTGAATCCTCATTAAAATATATTAAAATGCATTAACCAGGACGAGGCGAAACGTATTGAGACAATACCATATGTTACAGTGTATATATATATACATACATAGAAACATACATAAATATCATAATCATATGTAATAATGTATAAACCACCTAATCATTTTTTTGATATATAATGATATGTTATGTATTATATTATACCCTTTGGTAATTTAATATAGCTATTGAAAATTGCCATTTATAGTGGATTTTCCCATTGATAATGGTGGTTTTCCATAGTTATGTTAGTTTACCAGAGGGTAATTGTTATATCACTATCCCAGGTGCTTCCCTTTGTCATCCAGGCCCACCGCGATCTTGGGCATGCACCTCTGCGGTCGCTTGTGTGGAGCCCCAAGCCTTGGTGCCGAAGAAATGGGGAAAAACGGTGGACGGTGAAGCCCATGGAAGAAAAGGGCTTCCACCATGAGAAACAGTGATATAACCATGACAATTTGCAGATATACCCTCTGGTTATGACTAACATAGCCATGGTTTTTCGATGGCCCATAGAAATAGATGGTTTACGTATTAAAAATGGTGATTTTCCATGGCTATGTTAAATAACCAGATGGTAACCATGAAACATGGCAGATGTAAATATATATATATATATATTATAGCATTATAGAAGCATGGAAAACGGAATTCAAGCATGATCAACCATGTGGATTTATATACTGTAACTAAAATCCAAGATGTTGATTTATCATAAACAAGCAAGAGTACGGAACAATCCATGACAACTGCGGACAACACTAGATTTCATCAACAGACAGATATATATATATATATATTTGACCATCAAACTTGTGGATCTCATCAACATGTAAATGAGGTATCTAAAAAAAAGGTCAATACTGTGGATGGTTGCGAAATCCTGCACCAGTTGGTGGATGGTAAACATCCCAGTACAATCCCATATATCCCATCATTTATAGTGTTTCATAGTTATCAAATGTTATCAATAATATGTTTCAATACTAAAAGGACCGAATTTTCAGTCACTGATTTGAGGCTCATCTGAAGCCTCCATGACCGTCAGGCCACGATTCCAAGGAGTTTGCAGGCCATCCGCACGTTGGAGATCGACCTTGTCCAGTGGACGACCCAGATGCGGTGGGTTTTTGATGTGCCGATATTAGAAGTATAGGGCTTCGAAAAGCATGAAATTTGGGGGATACAATATTCGAAATTGATTATTTAGGATGATATTTGGGATGATATTTAGGATGATATTTAGGATGATATTTAGGATTATATTTAGGATGATATTTAGGATGATATTTAGCATGATATTTAGGATGATATTTAGGATGATATTTAGCATGATATTTAGGATGATATTTAGGATGATATTTAGGATGATATTTAGGATGATATTTAGGATGATATTTAGGATGATATTTAGGATGATATTTAGCATGATATTTAGGATGATATTTAGGATGATATTTAGGATGATATTTAGGATGATATTTAGGAT